GGGTGCCAGCCCTGCAGGATTGCCCTGGAGTCTCCAGGAATTGGACCTAAATCTCCAGGAGATGGCTGAGAGTCACCGGGGAGATGAATGACAGGGCATCTATCCAAATAAATATTAAATGTAAAATCCAATTTATACAGTAGTGCAGTGGGTTGTTAAAATGTAAACGTGCCCTTGCTGTCGTGACGTAAAGTCTGCTGAGGACAGTAGACCAGGCACTAATGTCATTAGGGCATGTGATGAAACCTCCTGGAATAAGAGAGTTGGCAACCCTACAAGCTGTGCCTGGCGCAGGCCCTGGGCAAACTTTTAGTATCAGGGCGCCCTTCACCAGAGATAATAATAATAATTTTTAAATTACTATTTTCAGGCCCCCTTTGTGTTTGGGCCAGGACGGCCACCTGGTTTGCCCATGCCTGTGTCTGGCCCTGCCCCTCAGCCCCAATGCCAGTGTGGAGCTGAGCTCCACGCTGTGCAGAGCTGTTCCCAGGGCGCCTCCACCTAGTCTGGGCCTCGTGGGAGCCTGTGCTGCGGGAGCGGGTGCGTTGGGGTACAAGCAGAAGCCCAGGAGCTGCCCTTGTCAGGTTCTGCCCCGGCTTTCTCTGCTGTGCATCAAATCAGTCTCCTCCATTTCCAGCAGGAAACTTTCACAGCGGACTGCACGCTGCAACAGCTGAGTTTGTGGAGAGAACGGATGCTGTATGTGTGGCCACAACGTGCTGATTTCTGACACACGAGCATTGCCCCCTTCCCCGAGGGCATCTAGTAGTATCCATTATTTGTAAGGGTCTGGGATGTAGGCTATCTATCCTAATGGTTAGGCCACCAAGGGAAAGCAGGGCCTGGGGGTGGGTCAAAGGGCAGGAGCCATGTATCAAAGCCAGAGGGAGATCTAGAAGCCAAGTCTGCAACACAGTCCAGGGTCAGGAACTGGGAGTCAGATGCCAAGTGCCAGTTCAAAGGGTCAATCCACAGGGAGAAGTCCAAAAGCAGAGCCAGACTAGGGTCAGGAGCCAGGAAACAGAACCAAAGTCCAGAAATAAGCCCAAAACCAGTCAGGACCCAGGAGGCTTGCCACAGCAGATCTGCTGCCTGGCCTGCAGACCCAGGACCCCAGCTCCTTCTGAATGGAAAAGCGGTGCTCCCAGCACACAACCAGGATGCTTGCTGCTCCTAAACTGGGGCAGAGTTCATTAGCTGGGGTCCTACGTGCAGGTATAGCTGCTGTCCTACATGCTCAGGCTGGCCTGATCGGTGTCCCTGACAGCACTGGGCCCAGGGCTGGCCTGCCTGATTACCATCCCTGACATTATTACAGTCTAGATCACGTTCAGTAATGAAAAGTATAAAAAAAATTAAAAATCAATTGTAGATGTAACCTCAAGAATGAAGCACCAGTTAGAGGCATGCTTATGCACAGCCATGTATATCAATTAAATACTGAACACATTTGGGTAGCAATTCTATCCAGATGATCCCTGCCAGTAGATCAAAAGGTGCAGGGACAAGCCCAGTAAGACTCAGTGAGCATCACCGGCCTTGTCTGCAGGCTGGTTCCATGAATCATTGTTGCACTGTATCCTGCTTAGTCCTTTATATCTAATAAAGAGGGGGGCGTGAAAAGATCTGTTCTCAGAAGTGAGAGAGATAGGGATGCGTTGCTGTGTATCCTCTGGACTTCTGCACAGGGGCGACACATAGCGGGTGCACACGCACCCCCTGAGCATGGTGGTGCACCCCCTTCAAAAAGCCACTGCCGACAGTGTGGGCGGCGCCTGTGGGCGGTCACCGCTCGCCACCCTGCTGCCGATACCGCCAGTGGCGTCTGCAGGTGCTCAGAAATCCCCACGGGCTGCCGCCACCGCCGCTGGCAGCGCCTGAAGGTGGTCGCCGACCCCTGGTCAGCGCTTGTCACCCCTCCCCCCTCACCACCGACAGTGCCGGTGGTATCTGTGGGAGCTGCCCAGTCACAGCCACTGGGCTCCCACTGCCACTGCCATGCTCCCACCGCCACCATGCCCCACCCAGCCACTGGGGGCACGCACCGTTCATGCTTCTGAAGACCAAACACATCAATCCATGCAACACAGATGCATGCTTTTTGTGACCACACATAAGCCAGGCTTCTGCCACCTCCTCCCCCCACAATTTATGGGTCAGATTCAAAACCCAGTGAAGAGAGCCAGACAGCACTAGATATCAAAGTGAAGTGAGTCCAGGCAAGTTCATTCTTAAACCAGTGTAGAGCATCTCCACCGGAGGTTTCCTATGGGGTAACTTAACTGTTGAAAAATATGCAGTATGTTTTCTTGCTGCATGGAATTAATTGCAAATGTTCAAAGTAGGTAGTGGGGAGTTGCAGGTAATACATTGGTCATTAAATCAGAATGCTTATTTACATAATGTGTCAAACCTGCATTCGACATGCTCCTGTTGTGCAGACACAGGGCAGAATTTGTGACATCGTTATTTATTCCATGGCAACAGACTATCATAAATCTGAGATATGGACTGTGAAGCAGGATAAATAAGGAGAACACTGCTTTTCAGAAGGGAAAGTTCTTACTTATATATAATGGCCTTCAACATCCACAAACACTGTCACCCTGTAGCACACCAAGATATTTATGGATATATTCTATTGGGTTCTCAGCATTCCTCCTAAATTACCATTTAAAATATATAGTAAAAAGCAGAAATGTTATCAGCTCTCTCGTTTGTGCCTGCATACTAGAGATGCACAAACCGCTTTATACTCTCAAATGTGTCCCTGTTCATAAACACCTGCATTCTTTTCCCAGTGAAAAAATGGGAAGTAAAGGAGGCCAAAGTAAAAAAAATGGCTGGAGTATCTCATTCAAGCTTTAGCTGCTCTAATTTTTACTGGTTTTTGCTTAGCTGTTTTCACTTTTCTATCTGGCTTTCTCCTTTTCATCAGAGAAAGGCTTAAAAATAGGAAAGCATGCATTTTTGTTTTGTGAAAAAAATCCATTAATTTATTTAGTTTCCTTCCAGTGTTTCATAAAAAGTCATTGTTCCAGCCCTAAAGCAAGTTTCTCCAACTTGTGAAATAGGTAGTTGCATTTCTTCCCTGTTTTCATAGTGGGGTAAGGAGGACTCAGGTCCAGTCTTGGAATATTGTGCCTTGGCAGGGATGGTTAGGTAAGTGGTTTTCAAAGTACACCTTCAAGCTGATTTAGAGTTTGTTTTTTCAGACTAACTCCAGATTGGGAGCTTTGTGCTATTCAGTAGCTCCACTTTGTGCTATTTGGGCCCATGCAGCACACAGTATTTAAATATGCAGTCAAAGACCCCAGGCCTACAAAGATTTGTACACACACTTCACGTTAGGTCAGTGGAATTATTTGTGTGCCTGACTAATAGCACATGTGTAAGTCTTTGCCAGCTTTGTGCCTAGGTAAATACCACAGTAATGAAGAGCTTGATCCACATACCTTTGGCTTATGTAGGACTGGGCCATAAATGGCATAAGTGAACATGTACGAGGAAAAGCAGATTTAAATTCGGCATCACCACCGTGTAATTAGATGTAAAATTTTTAGCTGAAAGAAGCTAAGGTCTGCAAGAAAATAAGAAAATCAAAAATACATAGTTGTCCAAGCAGACAATTTTGCATCAAAACATCATTACAAAAGGTTAGTGGAGAAAATAGAAGAATCGCTAGCACAAATGTAAGACTTGAGACTTGTCTCCTCCAGAGATCCATTTCTAATTGATTAACTTCTACTAAAAGTAGAACAATGTACCATGGGCTCTAGTGACGACTTCTAGAATCTTTGATTAGGGAAATGTCTGATCACTCATCAGGATTTGCTGTTGTGGACAGGGAAAGCAGCTGCCTCTTCTTAGACAGACCCACTCTTCCCCAGTGCATCAGCCTGAAATATAAAATCTGAGGAACTTTTAAGAGAAGGCTGCTCAAGCTGGCACCTTCAGGTTCCTGGTTTATAACAATGCCAAGGCAGCAGACTAAGGCAATTTAACTTTTCCTCCCAGTTTTGGGGAGATTGTTGCTGGCAAAATTCAATTCTACTCCATATCACCTTCTATTGAGAAGTGAGAAAGCATGAGCACTAAAGTGTGTGTCATCAGATTGTATGCTACTTTGGAAATCCCCATCTAACTCGGCTTGTCTACACGTGATGCTACATCGCTGTAGTCCATGGACAAAAAACCATGATGCTGCCGCTACAGTGCCATAGCAATATGCTCCCTTGTTATAGCACATTGCTACAGCGACGTAGCAGCCAAAATAACCATGCGCCGCTGGCACAGGGCAGTATGGGCTGTTACTGTTGCAGGCTGTACTTCTAAAAGGAAGTACCAAATGATGGCACAGTAACAATGGCGCCATAGGGGCACATGTAGATGCGCCCACTGACAGCTCCCTGGGGGCTATTACTAGCTGCAGAAGATGAATGATGACTCTAAATTATTTCTGGTCTAGAACTGGCACAGCTCCTTTTTCAGCTTTGCTGCTGGGGGAAGGGGAGGAGCAGGGGAAGGGTTGGGATGGTAGAGAATATGACACAATTCTTTTTTAACTATTGTGGCAAAATCTATTTGTCCTGGAGGTAAAGGTGTTAGAAAAGTGCTGTAGTCACTAATTCTATTATCCTTGGAGGATGGATGAGCAAAAGCCATAGAAATCAATGCTGACCATGGAGGTCATTCATTTTTAACTGCCAGATTGTTTACTGAATATGAATGTTAAAAGTCGGAAACAGCATGTAATCGATTTCATTACAGACACACTTACTATTGGCAAAATGTCACCATTTGCCTGGCGTTGAAAGAATAGTTCCTCCTTTTAGACTGTGTCAGCTTGCAAGGGAGGTAAAGCAAACATGAATTTGCTAATGACACTCAGTAACATCTTTTTCTTTTAAAAAATCTCCTAATCCAATGGTTTCTTTAATTCCTTCCACAGTTCATTTGGTTTTCCTCTGCCTTTGTTCTTAACAATTGACAAAAATGATAGCTTTACTGAAAGTAAGTGGCACACTGTATGAGACTCGCATAAGATTAACTCATCCCTACATTTTCATTATTACTTGTGACTTTCAGTCTTGCCTATGAGAACAGTATAGGACTGGGAGTGATTTAAAGATGCCTGAGGTGAAAATTATTGAAAAGACACCTGTAGATTTAAATAGGGTTGAATCTGGCTGATTAAACTGAAGCTTCAGATGAATGTACAGTTTGGAATATGCATTTTAGCTGCCCATAACAAAATACACCCCAGAAACCACCACTACCACCACAATATCAACTAACATTCTTAAAAATCTTTCCAGGAAATATCACTTCCTCCTGACCTTTTTTTTATTGAATAAAGAATTAAATAGAAGACCATTTTTGTGCAACACTCCATTAAAACCCAGAATTAAAACTAATTGAATTCTAAATGTTCTCTCCTTTTTTTAATAATAGCTATTCCAAGGTTTCTTGCTTTCTTCCAATGCCTTCATCTAGTGAATCAAGAGAGCAGTACTGATATCCACAATATAATAATCAGGATCATATTATCAGTTTATTCTCCTTTGCTATTATGAGTTATTGACTGGATTGTCTGAAGTCTGGTGCTTCCTGTTCAGATGTAACTTACTTGGCATATAATTGTGTCTGAATAACTTCTTGGCAAATGTTATATTGGCAGCAGAGTGGATCCATTAAATAGGGATTTTTCGTAAAGACTTTTTTTTGTTTTGTTTTGTTTTTTTAATGGAAAAATACAGGATATAAGTACCTGTGGCTAGGGAGAGGCTAGGAGTGACAGGACTGAAGCGCCTAGTACAATCTATACTAGCCTGTAAGAGTATAATTTTCAGTCTAGATTGCTTTCTTAAAACTGTGTAGTTCAGCTAAGTTAAAGTACAAATAAGCACCTCTTTTTGGCCCTGACCCAGGAAAGGGATGCTCATTCTGAGATATTATGTATGTCTATAAGTAGCACTCAGTTTTGATCCCCCTTGGCCCCTTTAGATCTTGATGTGCACTTAGTATCATGCAGTTGAGTAGTCCTGTTGAAATCCAGTGGCTGAGATGTAAATGGAAATTGCTACAAGAATGTACTTAATGCCATATGGAGGTCTTTTGCAGGCATAAACCACAAGTAACTTCACTGAAGGTTGATGTAAAGTGACCAACTGTCTCAGATTTTCTGAGGCAGTCCTGAATTTCAGGGCTCTGTTGCAGTATCTCTGACAGCTCTCTGAAATGGGAATTTCACCCCAAATGAAAAACTGGTCCCAGACGGCAGTATCTCAGTGAGGCTGGTGTTCACAGCCTGGGGTTTCAAGCCTCCCAAAATGACTAGCCACTATCAATGGCAGGGCTGTGTTAGAAATCCTAAAACTGTCTAGCAGCCATCAATTTCACAGCTGCTTTTAGTGGTTGTGAAGCTGACTAGCCACCACTAGTTTTACAGTTACTAATAGCTATCTGTGGGGCAGCCAGGATTGTGTCCCAGATGTGCGTTGCTTTGGTCCAATGTGTGAATAGATTCCAAGCCTTCTAATTCTGGACTCCTGTTCCAAACAGAAAAATGTGGAGGGCTAGGGAGGTGCCTGGGTATGATTCATACTGTACTGTCATGTCACATTGCGTGGATTTTGTCAAATTTGTTAGGTAAACAAAAGGATGCTTGGTTAGCCTGGGTCAGCCCGGGATAGTCCTCTGACTGGTAGCTTTCTGCAGGCCTCTGAGACTGTGAGTTGGTAATGATCTACTAGTGAAGGGCAATGCTATTGTGGGTATTGCCTGCCAGATTCTAACTCAAAGTCTGATTCCTGACCATTTGTGGCCCGAGAGGATCTCTTGATCTGCCTTAGGAGATGCATAGCACCAACCATTGGATTCCACGGCTTCAAAAGGGGAAGCCACAGCACTTTCCTGGAGTCCTGAAATGCCCACAGATAGTGAACCATATCTTTATGGTTTTCTGTATATTTAAACCTACAGTGTTTCAGGTGGTTGTTAGAGACACAAGGGCTTCTTCTTTTTACAGGTGAAGGCATATACCAAAAAGTAATCCTAAACAAATGTGCAAAAACTTGCTAATTATTCAGAAAACAGTGTTTCTGCAATGAAGGTCACTCACACCGAATGCAGGGCTTGATGGCCTAATGCAGGGGCAGGCAATTATTTCAGATGGAGGGCCACTTACTGAGTTTTGGCAAGCTGTCGAGAGCCGCATGGGTAGCCCCACCCCTTGACCAGTGCCCCACTCCCTGATTGCCATCTTGTGGTCAGAAGTCCCAACCCCTAACCCCTGACCTTTGCCAACAGAAGTCCCTCCCCTTCCCCTGGAAGTACTTTCAGCAAGGGGAGTTGCCATCTCAGAACCAGAAAAATACCAAATTAACATCTACAGCATTCATTAAGTTGATTTCAAAAAATATTTTTGTCCTGGTTTACATGTGTTTGTGTAGTGTACACAGAGGTGATTGCACAATAGCTTAAAATGAAGTCTTACTCTTGTATACTGGGGGGTATAGGTTTGTGGGGGGCTGTGGGTGTGTGGGGGAGGGTGCATATGTGGTTTCTGGGGGCCTGTGTGTGGGGGAGGGTGGCTGAGGTTTGTGAGGGGGTAGGGAGTCTGTGTGTATAGAAGTGCAAGAGGGGGTGTGGGTGCATGTGTATGGTGGGGTGTGCACGTGGGACTCACCCTATGAACACACACACACTGCCCCTGCCTGAACATGCACACACTCTACCCCTGCCTTGGGGCAGAGCATTGGGGACCATGTATCTCAGAGCTTGGGGGTCATGCCCTTTCTCTCTCCAAAATACATCTACTCTGACACACACATACCAGGTGAACATTACCAGGTAGCATGACAGCCAGATGTAGTATCTACTCACTAGTGCAGCATTTTGTTCCATTAGGAACATTCTGCACTGGCCAAGTCATACTGAATCCATGTCTTATGCAACATGTGAGCAGCACAAAAGAGCCAGAATAGAAACCAGAATCTTGCCTCAAATATTTAGCAAAATTGCTTGCAGGTAGGTAAGTTGCAAATGTGTATGTTAATTCTGAGACAGAGCAGGCTTTAGACATTTAGTGGACTTGGTGGCCCATGCATAGTTATTGGCTACTGCAAGCAGTAAAATAGTAATGCAATCCACATTATGTTTCTCCTTCATGTGCTTGCCTACATGCGCATCCTCACCATGGATGTGCACATGCCTCATGTAGGCAAGCTTAGGACTTTCTGCCTTAGCAGGACCAGGTTAGCGTGCCCTAGCCCCACACCACCTCCCCTACAGGCTTTGTGCTGGGCATAAAGAATAGGGTGCACCTCCTTCTCCTCAGTTCCCTTTAACTGCCTAGGCTCATAACAGTACCTTCCTTGTTAGTTTGTTCTCTGGTGGTCTTCAAAGTCTTTGGGCTTTCTGAATAGCCATTGTTGTTGTGATAGTCCTGTTCATTGTTTTTTTCCTTGTTGCATTTCATTCATTCCTGTTTACATATGTTCCTTTTCCCCACTCCCCTTTGGGGTCTCATTACCTGATTTAGCTTCATCTTTCCCCCTTTATAGTTTCTCAGAGGTGCTAACATTACTGCTAGCCCTTTTATTTCTTTCGAATGGGGAAGAAGAAAGGGCTTTGACAATATTTTTCTTCTCCTCCTCTTTCTCCCTGCTTATCCATGAGCTGCTGTCACTGCTTCTCTGGGGTTCAAACTATGTACATTTTTTGCCAGTGTGCTACCTGTGCACACTAGGTGTGAACAAGCTTGCAGCTAGTTTAGATTAGAATCTATCCCCAGCTGTGGCTAATGACATACGAGCTGGGTGTTAGTTTCCACAGTTGTGACTGACCCAAGTTCTTGAAGGAGTAAGAAAATGTACCTGGCAGAAACTGGAGTTCCTTGAAATATATTGTCCATATGTGCATGCCACTCTCCATCACCTCTTTCTTGGCACACAGTACATTTTGGGACTGCAGCTGAGAGAAAACCAAGGTGTTAGAAACATGCATTACTATCTATGCCTTGAAACTAGAGTATATAGAAAGTTGGGGGCACAGCATGTAACACAAGTGCTGCTAAAGCAAAATAGATACCACTGAGTTCAAGTGTTTGGTGCACATGTGCACCCACAGTAAATGGGTGCAAATGGATAAGGCAGCTAGAAGTTACTCTTTTTTTCTGTAGAATCATGAGCTTTCTAGTTTCACTGGAATGTATGAAGTAGCTTTTCCTTCAGTTCATACAAAACAATTAGGTAGGTTAGGAATGCCAAAAGTTTGGTTTGGAATTAAAACCTTTGTTTTTAGGGAAGGATCATCAAAAGAAACAACTCACTGGATGTGTTTACACGTGTACATTTAATGTGCATTAGCTCATCTACATGTATGCACTCTTAGTGCACCTTAAAAATGACAATTTTAGGCTATTCAAGCCTAAATTTGATACCTGCATGGTATCAAATTTATGCATGAATAGCTAAGTCACATTAGCGAATGCATAGATGCACTAATGTGCATTAACGTGATGTATGTCCATTGACCTGGGACTAATTTTAGTCCCAAGCTGGTCTACACGCTTGCATTAATGCGCCTTAGCACATGCATATTGTGGCAGTGCACCTTTGGGTGCCTGCCACTTTAAGGGCTGAAGTAGGTGCCTGATGGCGGCAGCCATTTTGAGGACAAGTTATATGAAAGCTGCAGTTTGCTGCTGCCAGCCCAAGCAGAAACATCACCTGGCTGAGCTGCAGCAGGAACACTAGGAGGTAAGGGCAAGAGCTTATGGGGATAGCTAGGAGGCTTTTGGTCCTGGGCATGACCTAAAACTGCACCCTGCCAGGCATGGGTGGCCTGGTGGGGGTTCTAGTGGCATGGGAACCCCCAGGAAATGCCAGGCCAGTTATCACCCTGGTGAAAGGCGGGTCGGGGTGCCTTAATAACCCCAGCCCCCACAACTCAGTACAAGGCACGACTATGGCCACCAGAGCCCCAGGGGGTGTAAGACCCCAGTAGAGGAGTGGGGCCAGGCACAGCTGCGGCCACCTGAGCCCATAGGGGAGGAAGACCCCAGAGGCCTCTGGTTGGGGGATAGCTGTGTGGCCCTGTACAGAGTAGGGTCAAATGGGAGTAGGCCTGAAGGGCTGTGCATGGAGGTGGGAGGCTAAGTAGGGCTGAACAGAGAGTAGGCCTGAAGGGCAGTCCCAAGGGTGCATTGAGTAGGGCCGAACTGGGAGTAAACCTGAAGGGCAGCGCAAGGGCCAGCCCCGAGAGTAGTTGATTGTGGGGATGATGAGAAGACCCAAGGGTAGGGCATGGTGTAGAGGCCATAGAGTGAGCATAGGAGGATCCTCATGTGTGGGGAAGAGGCCAAGGCATGTTTGTGGATGCCTGAGGCTGTAGTTTGGGCCAGAAGCCAAGAGTGGGGGCTCAGCCAGAGAGTTAGGGGCGAGTCCTGACCCTGGTAAGTCATCCACTGCAAGGAGGCTGAGTTTGGGTCAAAAATTACAGCAAGGGAGAGCACGATGGCCTGGTGCTCCATGGAAGGAGGGAGAGTTCCTGTGAGACCCTGGAGCACCAGTCATGCTGTGGGTTTTGAACATCATGTGGATGCCATCTATGAGGCCTGGGATGCAGTACAGGGGTGGCTGGAGCTGCATACATAGGCCCAGGAGAACAGAGCTGCCAAAGGGCAACCTCCCACCTAATTAAGACACCAATTATTGAACAACAAGGCGTGGCAGAAGAGAGAGGCAGGCAGTTAGCCCAGAAACAGGGGGGCAGGACAGCTTCTAGCTGGCTCCCGGAAGGCCCTTTGTTACATATATATAGACACATGCCTAAATCGCCTTAATGTGCATTAAGTTTAGCCACACGTGAAAGCACATGTAAACATGCCCACTGGGACACTGTGTAGAAATTGGCAAGGATAAACATAATTATCAACCCTTTGGTTTTGTAAAAGAAAATGCTACATATTGTTAAATGTGGTCTCTTTCAGGAGAAGTGCTCTGAGCGTTACAAACTGAGTGGCATAAATTCTGCAATCACCTACAACTGCTGGCATTTGATACACAGGGGGTGCGTCTACACGAGATGCTAACTGCACAGTACCCTAATTCTACTGTGCATTAGCATGCATGGTAAAAACCATGATAATACACTACATTAGGCTACTGCGCAGTTAGCATAACTAAAAAGACATATGCTAGCACTACTGTGCAGTGCATTGATTTAGTCCTTGGTTATACTTGGCACATTAATAAACATGTTGACATGCCCAGGGAGCTCTAAGGAATGCTAGCTTGAATATGCATGCAGTCAACTTGAGTATAGCAAACTGTAACAAAGCCACTGTTAGCTCCTTTTTTTCTGGAAGTTCAGCTCCAATTACACCTTTAAGCCTGCAGCATCACTAGAGGATTCCTGATGTTGCATTCTTGAAATGTTTATGTTGGGGCAAAGTCTAATTTGAGACAACATCCAAAAAACAAATTATCTCAGATAAACTTCAGTCTTTTGTGCCAAACAACCTTCATTTTGCTGAAGATATATTGATCTAATAGCTGGAACTGCATAAAAGCTTAAGGAAATAACAGAAAGGCTGCATACGGCTACAAAAAGATATGAAATGCAAATTAGTACAGAGAAGAACAAAGTAATGATAATGTCACCCCGTAGCAATGATGATGCATCAGTAAAAATTGGTAACGATAAGCTAGAAATAGTAAAACACTTTAAATATCTTGGAGTGACCATCACAGAAGATGCTACATCAGAAAAAGAAGTAAAAACAAGAATAGCCATGGCCACTGAACAACTAGCGAAGCTAAAGAAAATCTGGACTAGCAATCACATCATAGTGAAAACAAAATTCTACCTACTATATGCTGCTATATGCTGTTGTAATTTCAACAACTCTATGGACGCTCACTAGGGCATTGGAAAAGCAAATTGAAACCTTTGAAATGTGGTGCTTTAGAGGACTTCTACACATACTCTACACTGCACACAGAACGAATGAATCTGTGAAAGTTCAAATCAGACAAGAAGTTGGCAAATACAAACTCTTACTTGAAATAATAATAAAAAGAAAGATGCAGTAGTTTGGACATGTAACAAGAAGGCCTGGCACTCTTACCAGTACCATCTTGCAGGGTGCTGTGGACAGACAAAAAAAAAAGAGGAAGACCTAGGATAAGCTGGACCAGCAACATTAAAGACTGGATTAAATTAAAACTGACTGATTGTACAAGGATTGCAAAAGACCAGGAAGAATGGAGGAAAGTTATTGCTACATCAAAGAAGCCCCAGTGGTCAGTGAGGCCTTGGGACCAACTTGACTTCACTTTGTGCCAAAACGCCCTTGGTAAAGCAAAAATTAAGATGACCATTGCAAGCTGGTTGCTGCTATTGCTGAATTGATGGCAAAGCTTAAGTGTGCTACAAATGGTGTTTCAAATATTGGGTGGGAACCAAAAAATCTTCCTATTTGTTACTGTAGCCTTTAACTTACATCAGCAAAAATGGCTTTGTGTGGAAAATTCCCTAATGATCCCACATGCGGGGTGTAGGTAAAGTCCTGCAGCAGCCATGTGAGGTGCCACAATGGGCTGGAATACTACACAGGATGTTTACACAAGACATTAGCCAGATAAGCGCTGCTTTGAACAGCAGCAAGTGTTTGCAGCATGATATGAAGCGATAGGCCAGTGTAGCCTGACTGCTGATTGTAGGGGAGGTTGCCCTCAAATGCTCCAATTGTGCAGGCTTTGTTACCATTATAGATAGCTTTATTAATTTTGTGTCCTAGTTACAAACAACCTGTCCCCTCTCCTGCAGACATTACCTTATGGGTTTTATTCTGTTCTGCATCTGCCCCAATATTTTTATTTTACAAGTTTCATTCTTTTATGAGGAGAGATTTTAAGAACAAGAGCTGGCACTTTACTCCTAGGGGGTCTCAAAGTACTTGAAAACAATAACTCAGCTCTCTCAGCACTCTGAAATCCAGTATGAAAAAGCCACCTTAGTTACCTGTGGCCTCATTTCTTGGTATCCACATGGCTTGGTGGGGCAGCCGCTATTAATATGCATTTTGTTCTAGAAAGAAACAGAACCAAAGAGGCTACTATTTACAATTTTCAGAAGATCCTTTTGCAGGACAAACCAAGCACAGGGCTCAATGGAGTGGTGAGTCCTTGTTTATAGACTAATATTCCGGAAGTTGTGCCTAGCTTTTTAAGAAAAGAAGGGTATAGCTGTTAAACAGGCTAATTTAATCATTTTATCTCTGTGTCGTCTCTATAGAATACAGATGATCCTTCCTCACTTCATAGGCACACAGTGAGGGCTAAGTGATGTCTACTAGCAACTTGAACAAGTGCAGGGCTATCCTAGTTATGGCTAATACTGTATTAAATATTATGCAAGTCTTTTTAATTGTGTGAAATTGGAATTTCTTCTATCTCATTTTCAGCTCCCTTGGCTTTGTGCACTTGTGCTCTCTCCCCTGCCCTCCCCTCCCCACCATCTCAACACAATCCCAGTCTGACCACAGTCATTTTCCCTTGTTTTTGCTTTGTTCCTCCTTACCACTTTTCACACCTCACCCCTTTGTGTATTATCATTCCACTTATAGCTGCATCTTGCAAATTGCCAGTCCTCTGCTTTGGTATATGTGTGGAAAGTGGTGGACATGCTTGAAGCACTACCATAAAAATCAAAAGGAAATGAAGCAAGCTATTTTGCACCTCTCACCTTGCAGAATTACTGGGGAAGTACAGGCAGTAGGAGAAAACAGTGCTGAAATTAATGAGCAGTAGCTTTTCCTGTCTTGTGTGCGGGCCGGGAGCGACCCGAGCCCTTTTCGCGCTGCACGCGGGCTGTGGCCAGCAGCCCGGGCACGCCGGGTCGGAGAGGGAAGGCCGTCGAGCTGGAATTAGGCACAAACGCGTAGCGGTAGTTTTAAAGATTGTTTACTTACACCGAGATGGCAGTGGTGCAGGCTGGAAAACTTGATTGAGTTGCAGTTACAGACAGACAACACAGACGGTCTCGTGGAGGTTGCTAGGCTCCACGGTACAGAGCTCCGGATGCTCTGGGTGAACGAGCCACCAAAATAGAAATCGTAAATACGTCTTATAAAAGTCGCGTTCGAAGACGGGAAGAGGTG